CCCAGGAAAGGGAAGTGAGGATGGGGCTGGTTTATCGGGGTAGGGGGGAGAAACCGGCGCGCACACACACACAAAAAAAAAAAAAGTTAATGGCCTTAGCGGGACGCCACCTGTAATCTCCGAGGCAGATAACTCCCGAAAGGAAAAAGTACGACTGCAATAGCTCTGTGTGGTTACAGTGTTACTTCCCGTTGGGGGGGTACAATACATTGTAGCAGCAAACTGGCTACATTACTCACACATCGCCTATTATATTTCCATCATCCAGATAGAAAACAACGGACGCATCATCAGTAGGGATGAGCACAGATTCAGACTGGACCCAGCCCGAACCTGAGCTCCTGTGTTTGTTTTTAAATTATTTTTATATTTATTTAATTTGATATTATTTTTAAAACAGTTTTTTTTTAAACTTTAATTGCTATCACATAGGGGAGCTTACAAGATGTTGCTTTGACATCATTGACCTTATATGGCCACATGGCCATATTTGGTCAATGAGATTGATTTCATGTGGCCATATAAGGTCAATCACGTCATCACAAACTTACCGCCCCTTTATGTGTAGCTGGGCAGGGAATTTTGCTGCTACACTGGCCCGGCCATGTGGTCATATAGGGTCATCAACCTTATACTATATTGGGTCAATGACATGGACTTTATATGGTCAATGATGTCATCACAAAGGCGAAATGCTTTGACATCATTGACCTTATATGGCCACATGGCCCTATTTGGTCAATCACATTGACAGTGTAACTTTCTTGGGGGGGGGGGCGAGTACAATGTAGAAGCAAAATAGCTACATTAGTCACACATCGCTTATTATATTTCCGTCCTTCCAGATAGAAAACAAGAGACGCATCATCAGTAAGAATGCGCTTAGGTTCGGACCGAGCTCTATCTAACTTGAGCTTCTCTGAACCCAGAAGAAAGCTCCTTCCATTGCCACCCAATCAGCTGCGGCCAGGGAATATCCTGCATGCAGCTGTACACAAGCAAAGGGGCGGTACAGGTCCTCTTTAAGGTGATGCTGGGGGTCCAAAAGACCCCCAGTGTCACCTTTACACTCCAAATAAGCTATTGAAGTGCAGATCGCAGGCTTCAGGAGCCGACCAATGGCAGCTATGGGATGTAATGCAATCTGCATCGCTCCCGTCCTATAGTACTGGGAGGAGATCGGTGAACGGACACTCGCCGATCTCCTCCCCAGCTTCCCAACGACACCCGAGATGCCGGTCCCGGGGGCCTGTGGTAGGGGCAGCGGAGCCCAGGAAACACGGCGAGGGTTTCGGGCGGGCAGTTTACTGGGCCGTAGAAGGGATCTGGCGACCTGCATGCCTGGCATACGGTGACAGGAGCACAGTTGGGCGACAGGGCGTTGTCACCTTTTAACAGGAAGTGCCTGCACACGAACCTCCATGGCAGGATCACCAGGGATTATTTTAGTGAAAGCTGCAGATTTAAAAAAAATAATGGAAACGGATTTTGGAATGACACGTCAAAGCTTTGTGATCGGGTTCACGTCTACTTTGTTACAAACTGATGAGATTAGTTGCATCACATTCATCTGTTATTCATGTTCTGTATACAATGAAACATTGTAAAAGGAATGAGAACCTTGAGCCTCATGCTCCTCTCCCCCCCTCCCCCCCCAGACAATAAGAAGACAATACATTCCCTGTGAATGATACAATTACATCTGTACATAAGGTCTAATAGAGGGGGGAGATGTGGAGGAGAGAAGGACATACACGTCTCCATCATATAAAGCAGATATAAAAGACAGATGAAGTGTATATATATATATATGTGTGTACAATAAATAACAATATACTCACCTGCCTCCCACGCGTGCAGATTGCAATCTCTCCACATGATATGGACTCGGCCACGCGGCGTTCGCACATAAATCTGGTCTTGTCGGGTCTTTTAAATGTTCTGAACAAGGCGGCCGATCGGCTTCAAACGCTGTTTCTCTAAATACAGATTTTTCCCAGTCCACATCTTTCGGACTTGCCCCACTCAGTATTCCCCTCGCTTGCGGCCATATTGAGTGGGGCACTCAGATTAATAATAACGTGCTGGATTAGTCTGACCCAGTAACAGACTGGGCCGGGGGGGCAGGGTGGCAATTGCCCCCGGGGCCTCTCTGATACCTTTGCAAACACCCCCCTGCCACTGCCGCAAACACTTCACCTCTCCCCTCTCGGCCACTGCAGCAGCAGAGAGGCCGAGAGGGGAGAGATTAAGTGGTTGCGGTGGCGGCGGGGGTTAGGGTTAGGCAGCCATCTTAGGGCGCACGCGGGGGGGGACCCAAAAATGCACTTTCGCCTGTGTAGGCAAAAATCCTTGCACCAGCCCTGGCTAACAAGGAGCACGCTGATAAAAGGAGAGAGCAGAGCAACACAGAGGTGAGCTCATCACTCTGCCGCTTCTCCTTTCACTGTCCAATCACAGGCTGGGGGAGGGACAAAACCTGCCAGTGTTACAGAACTACAATGGGCAAATCCCTACCCTGCAAGACAAGGCTGTGCTGTGGCTGAGCTGTTTTAAAGCTCAGAACTGGATGGACAGAAATACAAATCCTTTGGCAGGTATAGTGGCTCCCATAGATGTATATCGGAGGGATTTGCACATTTGCTATGTTGGTTTTATTTTGCTGTTTGTAGGGTACAGAGAGGAGGCGGGGCCCCCTGGTCAGTCGCTTTCTGGCTCGCCATTTTCTTTGCTGCTCCGCTTTCTCTCGCATCCAGCGGCTGTGTGCTAAGCGAAGCACGGGGCTCTCCCTGGTGGAGCGCGCTCCAGGCATCCATGTGACCCTTCCGCTCCATTGTCAGCCTTCATCATCTTTATTACATGACATCACTCTTGATGGGATTCGTTATTTAGGTCTTTCTGGACACTGATATGAAAAGCCCGGACAGCTCCAGCCGACCACCGCTTTGCTGCGAGGAGAAAGCACTTACATGCAATTTATCAGATCACCGTAGACATTCCATATCTCGACAGCTGTCCGAATATTGACAGTTATTAACTTTCTAGGACACAGAAGTCTTCCACTGCCGCGGCCCTTTTACTGGCGTGTAATGGCACTTAAAGTGACATTAAACCCTCAGATTTTTTAACATAAAACAATAGTGTAATGTGCGTCTTCCTGTAATCCTCATGCACATTTTTGTTCCATGCTAGACATGTCCGATTCATTTCGTTCCGAATCATAATTCGGACGAAATATCGGAGATTCGGATGTATCTGAATTCCGAATTACAGATGTAACTAATGCAAACGAATCCGAATTTCCGATTCCGAAATTCGTTAGCGGTAGCCTGTTCGAACATTCGTTTGTTGGACGAAATTTCGTTGCAGCAAAGTGACATGTGAGAAAAGAAAAAAACTTTTTTTGTCCTCTTAAATGTCACTTTGCTGCAGCGAACGAAACGAAATTGAAACGAAAGTTTGTACGGACTACCGCTAACAAATTGACTTTCGGACCCGAATCCCGATAAACTAAATATTGCAAAATCTGAATCAAAAGGAAACACATTTTTTGCTGGTGCACATTTCTATTCCATACCTTATTTAGACTCGCTGATGTCATCTCTGAATCTCTGTCCTTCTCTATGCAATGCAGGTAGACTGGGTGGAGGGGCCGGCAGGGTGCTGTACATAGCTTCCTGAAAACATCACAGCACCCTGCCACAATACTACTCTCAAGAGCCCTCAGCCCTGATGCAAGCAGTGGGCTAGATCATGGGAGGAGTTATGCAAATATCAAAATGCCTTGATAGCTGGGTGTCATTCTGGAGGAGTGGGTCTTCCTAGGCTGTATTTGCATGCAGAATTCTTTTCTTGGAGTCCACGGAGAGACACAGGTGCCCTCTCTCTGTGTTTATGGTCATACTTTTGCTACTGGTTTACCAGAAAACACGCTGGGAGTAGGAGGGCTGTCCTGGGTTGGCCTACAGTTATCTTTGTTTGGCAGTGTCCAATCCTGGACAGGCGGCTGTATAACACAAAGTTTAAAGGAGAACTATGAGATGAGTGATTTCCACTCACCTCATAGTTCTAGCCGACCTGCGACAATGAGACTGTCACAGGTCGGCTCAGTAGATCGGGAGGTGAGGGAACACATACCGGCGTTCGCTCACTTCTCGATCCTGTCATGGCTCTCTGCCGTGACAGGGGGAGGGGCTGGATTCCCCTCTCCCCGCTCCGATCCTCCAGCGCTGACTGGCGGAACGGACGGGGGAGGGGGCGGGTACAGCTGGCTCTGCCTCTAGATAGGCAGAGCCAGCTGTCACTCACGCAGCTCGGCGGATCCCGGCACAATTGTCGGGATCCGCTTCAGCTGCGGCGTCTCAGTATACCGCGAGCTACAGCTCCCTATATACTGAGCCTAGGGTGACGGGAGGACGCTAGTTTGTGTTCTCCCGTTACCCTAAGGAGAACTATGGGGACAAACCCTGACCCCATAGTTCTCCTTTATGACTTCGTTTAATCCCTCAATGGACTCCAAGAAAAGGATTTACAGTGAGTACAAAAATCCAAGAATCCTGTGCAAAATGTAATTCATACAATTATGTCTAATTATCAGTTTTGATACTATTACTTACCCTTTAAAAAGATGAGACAGACAGACAGATAGATACTGTAGATAGATAGATAGATAGATAGATAGATAGATAGATAGATAGATAGATACTGTAGGTAGATAGAGATATAAAATGACATTGGCTTCCATTGAAAGCTGTGCTGGGGGTTTGTGCCGCGGTCGCATTCACAGCCAGAATGGTAAAGTCCCAAACTAATCTCCGGGCTGCGGCATTGTAGAGTCAGCAGGATAGCAAACACACGCCCGGGATTTACTGCAAATGAAACGTGCCCGCTGTCCTGACTAACGCTCTCAGACACCGCCGGCCCTTCTGCTGACACAAGCATTGTTTTACACATCACATATCGTGCACAGACCTGCAACTCTGCACCACGGCCATACTTGATGTGCCAGGAGTCCCTATAAGTGTAACGCCGGTTCTATGATAACCTGCAGCCCGCACTCCGCCATAGACACCTCTCTGCCAACTTATCAAAAGGCCTAGAGAGAGGTGTCATGGTTTGCTCTGAAGGCACCAGATATTTGCCTGTGCGTGCCTGTCAGGGTAAAATTATAGGAGCTGCCACTGCTGAACGTTTTTTTATATTATTTTGGATGGAGTGATGAGGAGTTAGACCCCTTGTCAGGTTTGTGTTGCTTTCTCTGTCCCTATTAGAGAGCGTCACCCTCTGTTTGTCCTGGTGACCCCTTAACTACCGTCCTCCCAAGCACATATACATACCTGTAGATTCTCACCATCCCTTCGCACCCCTGACGCACCATTTGGGCCCCCGGGAGCGAAGGATGGGAGCACTGTGTAAGCTCGGCGTCATGACTTGAAGCTTATACAGGGCTGAGGACTCTCTGCACCATGTGTCAATGCTGAGTGTCTGAGCGGCCAAGCTACTGAAGTACTGGGCATTTTTTCCACGGCCAGTGGCCAAACATGGAGTGATGGCGGAGCAAAGGGGAAGATGAGTATGTGCAGCAGGTTGGGTGGCAGTTAAGTGAACCTCGTGCCTTGAGGTTTTCAACTGAGGGCCTGTTCACATCATAACGCAGTGCACAGTAACAGGCGCATTTTCTTGCCATGAGGCGCGCTGTATTAGGCAACCAATCCATTTCAAATGAGCTTTCAGTGTACCTCAACCTACCTGATTTTAACAGGCCCTACACAATTGTTTTTTGGATGAGCGAACGCTTAGGTGCATTGTAGTGCAATGTGACACAAGTGGGTTGCAGTGCACTGTAGATGTGTTCTTCGGTGCAGTTAGATTGGGCTAGAGAAACCCATGCACACATTATGGTGTGAACAAGTCCTGAGTGAAATCTTCCACTCCGTTGTGATAACGCTAAAGTCTCGCTTGACCTTTAGTCTCTGAGTGGCATATTATGGGGACTTGGGGGGGGGGGTCCAATGTTCCCCCTCACCTAAAAGGCTCTGCTATTTCTCCTGGCTCTGCTGGGTGATCAGGGTAATGGGGTCAATGCAACCTGTTACATTGCCCTGTGTGGGCAAAGTGCAAGTCCCCATTAAAGAGCTTCTCTGGGTTGGTACATAGCCTGCATAGTCTCATTTTGACGCGGTCTTTAACACAATATAAATATAAAGGCACATTTCAGGTGATGAAGCTGGCTTAGCTGGGGAAGGGTTTGGTAGGGGAATGGAGGACCAGAGCTATGAGACGAGGCTTCTGACCTTAAACATGTTTACGCTGGAATTAAGGAGATTAAGGGGGGATATGATTTTCATGTACAAGATGTTCAATGGTGACAGCAACATTGGCAACAAACTGTTTGAGATTAACTCCATTACAAAGACTAGAGGCCACCACCTAAAGTTGGTGGAGAAAAAATTCCAGCACAATGGGCGAAGAGGGTTCTTTACAGTAAGAGCGGTTAAGGTCTGGAACTCACTGCCATCGGCCGTCATCTCAGCCAAGAGTGTAGATTTGTTCAAGAAACATTTGGACAATTTCTTGAGGGACCGTAATATCCAGGGATACCAGTTAGGGTTGCCACCTGTCCGGGATTCACCCGGACAGTCCGGGTTTTGAATGCTGTGTTCGGGTTTCATGGCATCAGAAACCCGGACACAAGATGTCAAGCAGACAGGGACAACCAAAATTAAGATAGGGGCTACTGGACCCCCACTGAAAACAGTCTCAACTGTGATATTTACATATGAATGGGCGGCGCTATGTACATATGAATAAGCTACTACTTATTCTCCCCAAAAAATGTCTGCGTGTCGCTAGAGTGTTTCGGGTTTGGCTTAAAGAAAAGGTGGCAACCCTAATACCAGTATCCCTAAGAATAAGATGATGTATTCTGACTCCGATTGTTGTGATAGCGATATATCCCTTGCTGAGACCTCTATGCCTGGCCTGTATAAGCACATATACTCACTGCGGACAATCCTTGTCAGATAGCTGAACTCGTCAATACCGTTTCATCCAAAAGAGGTGCTTTATTTTTAACATCAGGGTTACAGCAGATGATAGGAACAGCAGATGAATGGTTTCAGTATTGTGCGGTCAAAAAATGATGCCTTTCCTAGCGTACTATGCAGAGTACATGTCTCCTGATTACATGTGGCTGTTAGCTGTTGCCATGACACAGGAAAACTGACAACAAAACGAAGGGTGGGGCTTACATACAGAGCAACTGTCATACAGAAAAACAGGTGCAATATCACAAAGGCCACTAGATGGCAGCATAGGAACTAGACATATAAAAACATCCATAGGAAAAGGTATAGGGAAAACACACTATATAAATCTATCTACTAACATTAATGTAATAACATATTCTATGCCCCATTGGGGCGGCACATGATGCGTGGACCTATATGGGTTGGACTTGATGGACGTATGTCTTTATTCAACCCCAAATACTATGTAACTATGTAGCTTTGAAGAGAATACATAAATCATTTCAAACAGTGTTTCCTATGGAAAAAGAACAAGCATGGAAGGGCACATGATATGGAATGTTCCCAGCTATGACCACGCTCATGTGAAGTGTCTCAATAATTCATTGTCTCTGGTCTGTTTGTTGTGAGTACATGACTGGTTCTCTTATGTGCCTCATAATATACTGATATCTGTGGTTCTCGGCCTATATTTTTAGAAAAGAAATTGGCTCGTTCCTATGGCATCTGCTCTTAGAGTTCATATTTATGTCTCTTTGTGTTCCGTTATGTCTCAGCAGATGTTGGTGGACCGGCAGACCCGATTGCTCCCATCATTGTCATTGCACCTCAGAACACGAGCGTTGTGTCGGGAACCTCTGAGGTGACGATGGAGTGTGTGGCTAACGCCAGGTCAGTATGGAAGAGCATCCAAAGTGTTTTTCTTCCTTTATCATATTTTTATCAATATGTGCATTGAAGATAAATTATTTAGCTCTGGCTGCAGTCTATCAGCATGTACTCACTATGAACTGTTGACCTGTGGCAATTGGAGGATGTACAGATCCTAAAAGTGGAGTGGGTCTGTCAATGTCCAACTCTAATGGACAGGAGGCTAATAATACTACAGAGGTCAGGAAGGTGTGTGAGACCTTAAAGGAGAACTATGGGGTCAGTGTTTTTCCCCATAGTTCTCCTTAGGGTAACGGGAGGACACAAACTAGCGTCCTCCCGTTACCCTAAGCTCAGTATATAGGGAGCTACAGCTCGCGGTATACTGAGACGCCGCAGCCGGAGCGGATCCCGACTTAGACGACGGGATCCGCCCAGCTGCGTGAGTGACAGCTGGCTCTGCCTATCTAGAAGCAGAACCAGCTGTACCCGCCCCCTCCCCCGTCGGTTCGGCCAGTCAGCGCTGGAGGATCGGAGCGGGGAGAGGGGAATCCAGCCCCTCCCCCTGTCACGACAAAGAGCCGTGACAGGATCGAGAGGTGAGCGAACCCGGTATGTGTTCGCTCACCTCCCGATCTACTGAGCCAACCTGTGACAGTCTCATTGTCACAGGTCGGCTAGAACTATGAGGTGAGTGGAAATCACTTACCTCATAGTTCTCCTTTAAGCAAAGTTCTAGTTCACGTTACCAAAGTGTTATATATTACTGCTTGTTGATTTAACTACAATTTCTTTTTTGTCACTTTAGACCCCTTGCCAAGTTAAACATAATATGGAAGAAGGATGGAGTTCTCGTCTCCAGCGGGGTGAGCGAATTTGGGCGCCGCCTCACCATCCTGAACCCCACCCTGAGTGATGCTGGCTATTACTTTTGCGAGGCGACATTACGCAGCAGCAGCGTACCTCCCGTCACCGCTGGAGCCTACCTAACCGTGTTTGGTAAGAGTAAAGTCTTTTAGATCCGGGCTGGAGACAGTCCACCAAAATGGCAGATAGTAGCTTTCTTCAGTGGAAGTGCTGGATAGGGATTCATCTGTTTGTTGGAAATAGAACAGTCTTTCCATATTAATTTACTAATAAACAATAGCACTTTGGGCATAGCTACCAAGAGAAAGACTATTGGATAAGTGGGACGGTGGAAGATGGTGGGGTGGGTGCCAGAACTCTAAAGTAGAATTGAAGTCATTCTCTCTTGCTTTGAGGTCAGGGACCTGGTTCCTGCAGTAAGGTGAGGTACTGGTGCTTGACGAGAAGACCTGGCTCCTGCTGCGAGTTTAGGTACTAAGGTTGGATAAGAAGACTTGGCTCCTACTTTGAAGACAGGTGCTGATGTTGAATGAGAAGACTCGGCTCCTGTTTGTGAGGTCAGATGCTAATTTTAGACAAGACCTGGTTTCTGTTGTGAGGTCAGGTGCTGGCGTTGGACGAGAAGACCTGGCTCCTGCTGTGAATTAAGGTGATGATGTTGGGTGAGTAGGCCTGGCTTCTGTTGTGAGGTCTGGTATTGATGTTGGACAAGAAGACTTGGCTCCTGCTGTGAGGTCAGGTATGGATGTTGAATGAGAAGACCTGGCTCCTGCTGTGAGGTAGGGTGCTGATGTTGGATGAGAAGACTTGGCTCCTGCTGTGAGGTCAGGTATGGATGCTGAATGAGAAGATCTGGCTCCTGCTGTGAGGTTGGGTGCTGATGTTGGATGAGAAGACCTGGCTCCTGCTGTGAGGTTGGGTGCTGATGTTGGATGAGAAGACTTGGCTCCTGCTGTGAGGTAGGGTGCTGATGTTGGATGAGAAGACCTGGCTCCTGCTGTGAGGTAGGGTGCTGATGTTGGATGACAAGACCTGGCTCCTGCTGTGAGGTAGGGTGCTGATGTTGGATGACAAGACCTGGCTCCTGCTTATTAGGTCAGGTGCTCATTTTGAATGAGAAGATCTGGATTCTGCTGTGATGTTGAGTTAGAAGACCTGGCTTCTGCTGTGAGGTCAGGTACTGATGTTAGATGAGCTGACCTGGCTTCTGCTGTGAGGTAAGATACCGATGTTGGGCAAGAAGACCTGCCTCTTGCCAGGCCTGGTACTGAAGAAGTGGTGGAATAAAAGACTTGATTTACAATCAGAATTCCAAATGGCGTTTACACCATTGTAGCTTGCTGCATTGCTGAATATGCTACAGCTCTGTTACTTTCACATTGAATATGAATAGGCTGTCTTCATGAAACGCTCCACAGAGCACAAAAACACATGTGTAAGTGCATGCGCATCACAGGACAAACAACTCTGAGGAGGACTTATTAATTACTTAAATAATTACTTAATAATCCATAATGACATTACTTTTTGTATCAGGCATTTGTAATCTAACTCCGGGGTCCCTTTTAAGGAAGTAAAAATATTTCCCATTTGATGTAGCTCAAGCGATTTTGTGGGTTTTTTCTCTGTCACATGACAGGTCCACTTTATGGCACACATATTTCTGAGCGAAGTTAGAGAGCAGGTGTGCTGCCATAAACTAGCAGAATGGAGTGTTTCCTGCTCATCACTATGAATCCACCAGGGGAATACTCTGTCCAATCCAATTATCTATCGGCTGACAGTGTGCGCTAATCTCAATGACACGCCGAGCTTTCTAGCGGTTTTTAATTGATTACGGCTCTGTAACGGAGATATGTCCCTAATTAGTAAATCCCAGCAGCCCATGGAGTTAGAAGACAATGATTTTTTTTTTTTTTAGAAGAGGAAAATAAAATGGATCCCATTTAAATAAAATCTGTCACTGGTTAAAAACACCCATCTCAGAATCTGGCGGTGAAGGCGGCTATTTGCAGACTTCGGGGGAGGGGGGGGGGGTTCAAATTCGCGTGGGGCAGTAACACACGAAAAAATGCATTGTGTTAAGGCAGCCCGTTCATTTTTATTGGACGTCCAATGCACCTGACCGCGGCAAAAGCCGAAACTGATCCTTTTCTAAAAAGGCAAATCGGTGCACTACCATGTGTTACCGCGCACCGCGGCATTGCCTCATTGTGTAGGCATGCAATTAACAAAATGATTGGCACTCTAGCACATGTTTGTCACCACATTGTGACTAGCGATGGGCTCGGGGCGTTTTCGCAGCTCCACGTGCCGAGCCCGCCAGGAAGCTGACAGCGCAGCAGCACCAATCACAGGTACTGAGACATTTCCCGATCCCTGTAGCTGCGGACCCGGGAACATGTCTCAGTACCTGTGATTGGCGCTGTCAGCTTCCTGGCGGGCTCGGCACGTGGAGCTGCGAACACGCCCGAGCCCATCACTAATTGTGACCAGGTGGACCTGCCTCTAGGGTCTGTATAGTAGTTACAGAGCCGATACGATGAACATATTCTGCATCACTATTGATCAATGCCTCGGATCTCAGGGAACGGTAGCTTCTATGTTAGGTGTCTGAAACCTTTTTTTCTAGGTGGCCTTTAAAATCGGAATTCATTAATTTTCCAAATTTTCCCTATTTTCAATAAATGTTTTCTTCTCCACTGACCACCAAAGTAATAATCTACCTTTCCACTGACCACAAATTTTAGGTTGCATTTTGCCACTGACCACCAATGTTAAGGGACCTTACATTTTTTATTGCCTGCATTTCTTTGCTTGCCGCTATTTTTTTTTTTTTTCTTTGAATGATTATTACTGAAATATCTTTTATTTATTATTATATCTATACAACCCTCTGATATTATATCTACACAACCCTCTGATATTATATCTACACAACCCTCTGATAGTATATCTACACAACCCCCTGATATTGTATCTACACAACCCTCTGACATTATATCTACACAACCCTCTGATATTATATCTACACAACCCTCTGATAGTATATCTACACAACCCCCTGATATTGTATCTACACAACCCTCTGACATTATATCTACACAACCCTCTGATATTATATCTACACAACCCTCTGATAGTATATCTACACAACCCCCTGATATTGTATCTACACAACCCTCTGACATTATATCTACACAACCCTCTGATATTATATCTACACAACCCTCTGATAGTATATCTACACAACCCCCTGATATTGTATCTACACAACCCTCTGACATTATATCTACACAACCCTCTGATATTATATCTACACAACCCTCTGATAGTATATCTACACAACCCCCTGATATTGTATCTACACAACCCTCTGACATTATATCTACACAACCCTCTGATATTATATCTACACAACCCTCTGATAGTATATCTACACAACCCCCTGATATTGTATCTACACAACCCTCTGACATTATATCTACACAACCCTCTGATATTATATCTACACAACCCTCTGATAGTATATCTACACAACCCCCTGATATTGTATCTACACAACCCTCTGACATTATATCTACACAACCCTCTGATATTATATCTACACAACCCTCTGATAGTATATCTACACAACCCCCTGATATTGTATCTACACAACCCTCTGACATTATATCTACACAACCCTCTGATATTATATCTACACAACCCTCTGATAGTATATCTACACAACCCCCTGATATTGTATCTACACAACCCTCTGACATTATATCTACACAACCCTCTGATATTATATCTACACAACCCTCTGATAGTATATCTACACAACCCCCTGATATTGTATCTACACAACCCTCTGACATTATATCTACACAACCCTCTGATATTATATCTACACAACCCTCTGATAGTATATCTACACAACCCCCTGATATTGTATCTACACAACCCTCTGACATTATATCTACACAACCCTCTGATATTATATCTACACAACCCTCTGATAGTATATCTACACAACCCCCTGATATTGTATCTACACAACCCTCTGACATTATATCTACACAACCCTCTGATATTATATCTACACAACCCTCTGATAGTATATCTACACAACCCCCTGATATTGTATCTACACAACCCTCTGACATTATATCTACACAACCCTCTGATATTATATCTACACAACCCTCTGATAGTATATCTACACAACCCCCTGATATTGTATCTACACAACCCTCTGACATTATATCTACACAACCCTCTGATATTATATCTACACAACCCTCTGATAGTATATCTACACAACCCCCTGATATTGTATCTACACAACCCTCTGACATTATATCTACACAACCCTCTGATATTATATCTACACAACCCTCTGATAGTATATCTACACAACCCCCTGATATTGTATCTACACAACCCCCTGATATTTTATCTACACAACCCTCTGATATTATATCTACACAACCCTCTGATATTATATCTACACAACCCTCTGATATTGTATCTACACAACCCTCTGATAGTATATCTACACAACAATCTGATGTACCATAAGCTGTAGAGATAATAATTTCTCTCCCGTTCATTGAAGGACACAGGGCAACAGATCGTAGATCCTGAATGGTAGGGTATATCGCCACCTGCAGGAGTAGGACGCTAGGCACATAACAAAAGACAAGACAGCCTAGGGACGGCCCCAGCCTAGGGACGGCCCAACCCCCCACTTGCCGACATGTCTCCAGTAGGTAACAAGCAGTTAGGAGCGTACACCCCATAAAAGAGGGCGGGGCCTGTGTCCTTCAATGAACGGAGAGAAAAGGATTTTACGGTGAGTACAAAAATCCTATTTTTTAGCAGGGTTTCCTTGAGAACTAAAACTGTTTTAAGGGTTTCCCCTGCTGTAGACTGATGACATTTCCTATCCGGTTGCCATGGGTTACTGCACGCTCTTGCACTTTGTACCGCCCGGCTAAATCAGATCATTTTTCTGAAGCAGTCCTGTCCCTTCTGCCACTTATGCCATCAATTTCCTCTTGTGTTCTAGAGCCGCCACAGTTTGTGAAAGAGCCTGACAGACACTTGACCGCAGAGATGGAGAAAGTGGTGGACATTCCGTGCCAAGCTAAAGGTGAGCACTGGACATGCTGTGACTCTTCTTTCCCCCCTTTCAGGCTGGGCTGACTACAGAAATGCATGCAATGCAGCAGTTTGATATGCATTGAAAGGATCTCATTCTGTTTGATGGCCCCCAAGGTGCAGTGTAACGCATTGGTGTGCATAGATCGTATTAAGAACAATGTATCTTCTCGTCAATGCATTTTTCTACATTTCTAAATGCAAAAGGCGTGAGCACCATTTCTGGAACAGAAAAGGGCCTTCACCAAAGTGTTCCCCCAAGGATAGACGCACAAAATTGCCTAAAACATCTTTGTATGCTGTAGTATTAACAGGACCCTTCACTGGAGACACCTGAACCAAATCATTTAGAGGGAGGTCCACATACCTTTGGCTATTTGGCTATATGTGTAGTGATCAGGTGTCCACAAAGTTTAAGCCATATACTGTAATGTATACGGCATGCCAGGTACTCTAAGC